GCCGGAACAGTGAATTTCATTACTTATACCATAACCACCCTGGAATATAAAATTATAGGCGAAAATACAGGGTGTTCCATAATTCTATGTCAATATTCAAGAGGCTTAATCAGTTCGTTATTTTGAGAGAGAAAGTTCTTATGAACATTGGCCCGTTTTTGACATATTCAAGATAATGAAGATGATACAAGTTCTCTTTATCCAACAAATTAACCCTATTCAACATCGATCATGAAACGCCTGGTATATAACGCTCGAGGTAGGAGGTTCTGCAAGAACTGCTTGTTCAACTATAAACTTCAATTTTCCTCACATACACAGTGTGTCTCGCTACCAATGGATGCACCCCTGTATATCTTTCGTAATTAGTGAGGTAGGATTGTGAAATTTGTAGGAGCGGGAGATGTACTGAAAATACACAAAAAGATTCATCTTCAGTGATATACACTGCTCGCCAACAGCCATCATGGAACCATCCATATTTCCGGAAAATGATATTATGGGAGGCAAGATAGCAGATCCAATTCGCTAACTATTCATAATTTTCTTGGGGAATTTTCAGTTCTGAAAAACTGAATTTTGTCTTACTTTTCATGGAACCCTCGTATCTTACGTAATCATTGAGGTAGGGTTCTGAAATTTGCGCAGGAGGAAGAAAGAGTCCAGAGATGAAGTCAATTACGTGAGATTTGGAAGTGCTTCCATAAAAAATGAGACAAAATCAATTCTTCAGAACTCGAATTTTTTCAGGAAAAATATAGATAGTTAGTGAATTGGACGTCCTGATTTCGAATCCGAAGTGATGTTCAATCTATCTTGATCTCCAATATCATTTTCCGGAAATGTTGGTGGTTCCATGGCTGTTAGCGAGCAGTGTATACCACTCTTTTTGGTCATAGTGTGCATTTTCAGTACATTCCCGTCCCTGCAGATTTCAGAATCCTATCTCAACAATAACGAAAGATACATTTTGCTGGGTAGCAAGTATACCAAATTGCTCATTTATTGACAAGAAAACATTTGTTTTTCACTTCCGGTTGAACCGGAAGTAACCCCAAGTTCTGATTTTCAAATAGGACACCCTGTTTAATTTTTCATTTTTGAATTCAGGGGACCATTGTACACACAGTAGGAATTTTTTCTCAACCAAATATTAAAACTTACAGGTTGACCTATTTGGAAATCTAAAGTTGGGGTTGCTCCCAGTCGAAGTAGAAGTGATAAAATTAATATTTTTCGTCAATAAAATGCAATTAGGTATATACTTTCTACTCACAAAATTTCAAAATCACACCTCGAATGATTCAGAAGATACAGCACTGGTCGTTTTTGTGCAGTTCTCTGATACACAGAGGACGCATTTCAAAAAGTAATCGGTAGGAAGTCATTCAAATTGCCTTATATTCATTTTATCACTTCTGCTTCAATCGGACCCTAACTTGAGATATAGTCCCTAGTGTATGCAAAACGATCCCCTGAACCAAAGATGAAAAAATATACAAGGTGTCCTATTTCTAACCAGAAGTTATACAACAAAATATATTTTCTTGTCTTGTCTTTGGTATACTTGCCCCCCACCAAATTTGAAAATCCGATCTCGATGGAGCGTAAGCTTAATATATCAATCAACGTCGCTACCTATAAGAGACAGTCACAACTTGAAATTTCGCATAATTCGGTTTTCTACATCAATAGACATAAAATAATGCATAGATTCACTGAATAAATCGTCACAATTCAAATGCAGGAGACTCGTCTTGAAGCGCGGTACTATCGAACGGCATAACTAAAAAATCATAAGTGTGCTCCCAGCAAAAAAGTCAATTTTTGAGAAGTGTCTATAAATATTCGCGTTTTCATCCATAAGGATATCATAATTCAATAAAAATATGCCAGTCTCCTCAATAATTATTCCGAGTTTTTATATTGACATATAAAAAATGTGCCACACTCCTTAGTTTGCTGATAAAGGTATAGTATATATAGTATAAGTATGATTTCATGATAGGTCTGACTGAAGAACTGCTGTGCAGGTTCTGTCAGGAAGAGGAGGAAACAGCAGTACACATACTTTGCCACTGTGAGGGCTTGTCAAGACTAAGGTTCCTTACGCTGGGTGAGGAAAAACCAGAAGCCCAGAGATACACAGGGGATCTGAAAGCTAGCCTATGGAGTCTCATAGAGAAGACGGGGCTAGCCGAAGAACTCTAATCGATTTTGAGGGCAGACACAATAGATCTGAAAAGGTCGCGGTGTGGAGGCAGATAGCCCGAAGGCCCCATTCTAAATCTAATCTAATGATTTCATGAAAATACTGATGTACCTATATAAATAATTTCGTGAAAATACTAATGTATAAAGGTCATTTTGTTCGTATACTGTTATTTCGCAGGTGCGATTATATAATATGTTCTTTAGATTTCGTCAAATTGTGATTCTTATTTGAAATTGTATCTCAGGCTAAATTTTTTTTCATAATATTGTTTCCAACATCATAAGCTATACATTTGTAAAGAATTCATAAGAAATCAATAATAGTTATCCATACACCAAGGTAGTGAAGAGGGGTCCCGTGGTAATAATTTTCTTTACTATATACCAAAGTGTATATTAAATATTTTTCACCACTAGGCAAATAACGAAAGTATGGACCTATATAGTCACTTTGAGCACATTTCTTTTCAATTCTAATTAAAAACTAGTAGTCTTGACCATGGCATCATGATGACAAGTGTGTTATTAAAAAAAAAACCGTTTATTGTCCTATAACAGGTGAGGCACCCAATTACAGAACATGCAAGACAAATACATTTCATATCCATACATTCATTTTGGTACATTTTAAACAAAACTTCTATGTTTGATTACTGAAGGATATATTTCTTAGGTAATTTTTAAAACAGCCTAATTTTGTTGAATAAAGATCGATTTTGTCGCAGACATTATTGAAATTGATACACATTGTATAAACAGGAGATTCTTCCAGATAAATTACTACGTGATTCAAGTGCCATTCCTGTAAATCTCGCATCAAAACAGTGATATCGGGTTGATTATAACAGAGGTGGCCATCTTTACTAGAAGTTCGTAAAACGACGTAAACTACCTTGGTATAGTAAAAACACACTTCACACTCCTTGAAAAGGAGTAAATAATGGTAGGTTAATTACAACTAGTAGTGGACAATCTTTTTTATACATCAGAACTTTTGTCCGTTTTTGAAAATCTTCTAGCTTCGTTGAATTATGGGCTAATCAACGAATTTGTACCAAGATGTTGGTGTCAACTTCGTAGATAAATTGTTATACTTTTTTTTCAGAGAAATCCAACTGAAATCGAAAATTCAACATAACATAAACGAATCTCAATTCCATACTTCATCATTTACTCATGGTTCAATGCTATTTCAAATATTGCTCCCGCCTTAACATCATCAATTATCGAATTGTGAGTCTTCTCATATGTATGGGTCATTCTCCAGAACGGGGACAATATGATGTAACTCATATGTGAAAAATATATAACAAATAGGTTGAAACTTGAAAAACATTGAAGATGATAGCTTATGACTTGTGCTCCACATGTGTTGAAAAAAGAACGAAAAAAATCATATATTTTTCCATTTTTATAAGCAAAAACTCCTTTGAAATCACCTCCATGGACTGTAACCAGCTGCTATGGGTGAAGTGGAATCAATCAAAAACCCCTAAATAAACCATATTAGGAAACTATTTTTCAGTTAATATATTCTCAAGGGATTCAACAATAACGAGAGTGTAAGCAAAGAGGAAGTTTCATCGAAATGTTATTGTAAAATGTATGAATAATATGTGACACCATTTTGAAACTAAACTCCATGGACGCCTGTTATTTTTGTCAGAACTACCGATAGGTGTCACCTGAGGTAATGTTTCAAGGTGTCATCATTTCAAGCAAGAGCAGTTAGTTGAAGATTGTCAGGGAAACGTGTAAACTTTAAGCAATTTATTCGGGATTCTGGAGACAAAGTTAGAAATCAAGGTGAGTATTTTTATTAACAATCAACTCCATGTCGTTGATCACAAATAGACTGAGTCCATTTAGATTCGTTGAATATCCTAGTAATGTATAACTGATAATGTCTTACATGCATGAGAAATAATTTGAGGTCAGGTTTAATAGCAGTGTGAATATTTGAATATCAACTATAGAACACCAACTCCATGGACATCAACTCCATGTCTTCAGATGACTATGGAGTTGAACAACAAGTCCATGGAGTTGTTTCACTTCGGAAAATTGCGTCGATTGAAATTCCACATCACATATGTGCTCAGATTCAATGATACTCAAGTTTAGATGATTATTACAATTGAACAAAATGTGATAAAAAGCGATGCACATATTCTATTTCACATCATATTTTCATATTTCATCAGATTTTTTTATTCGGTGTAGCTATATTGAAGCAATAATGGTTAATACAAAGGAAAAATCATAAGATAAACGAGGATAATAGAAAAGGGAGTCTGAGCAAAGAAAGAGAGAAAGAATAAGACTGGATCCTCATTTATATGAAGAAGCGAAGCGCAAAGAACGTGAAAGATACCATCAAACGAAAAAATGCAGGAAAAATCAAAACAATGATGGAAGTAAGAACATTTCTATACATCTCTATCAAAACAATCAACGGAAGAAACGACAGAGAGAAAAGACAGATAAGGAAACGCTGGAGATAAACATCTTCAGAATAATATGAAAAAAAGAAGGACTCAGGAAAATTTGAATAGGCTCCTAGAAGAAACTACTCCACCATCAACAACAACACGATTGGATGCTTCATTTAATGAACATCCTGAGAATATTCCAGGCTCATTAGAAAGATCTGCTGCGAGAAGGAAAAGAGTGCTCAGAAAACGTTCCCGGACAGTGAGAAAACTGAAAAATGTCCAAAAAGAACGAGATATGTACAGAAGGAATAAGGCAATATGATACAAAACAAAATACTACAGAATGAAAAGTCAATCTATCAAAATAAATCGAGATTCTCCAAGAATTAAAGTTGCCGAACTAACAAAAGGGCAAAAAATATCAAAGGAGGTTAGACGCCAACTGTTTTTTTTTATCGCTTGAAGCGCAAGAAAGGGAATGCCTATAATGTTCAAAGAACATCGTGCGTTCCTAGGGAGGATAGGGATAGGAACTTTTTTGAACTTCTGGAGATTATATGTTGTTGGGAATACCTCCTCAGGCAATGAATTCCAGAGCCTAGCCGTTCTATGGATGAAGGAGTTTTGATAAAGTGCTGTTCGACATCTTTCGAGGTTGAAAACGAAAGAATGTGCTGACTGGGCTTGTCCAGTTCATCTGACTGGTATTGCTAGTGAAGGTATGGTAGCAGAGATTTCCGAAGAACATTTCCCGTGGAGAAGTTCTCAAAAGGATTCATTATATTGGTCAAGTAAATGTTATTCATGGAGCTATTTATGAAATAACCTTCATGAGACGAGTATCCTATAACAAAAATAATTTGATTTTCATCTGGCCTCAAGAAGAAGATCTATCTGAGGTGGATTCCAATTGTATAATCAAGAAAGTGGCGAATCCTCAGGTATTACGAAGGAATCGATTCCTCTTCAAAAATGATCCAATTTTAATGTGCAATACTTTGAAATGGAAGCTGTTTTCCGGATCAAATAATCGGAAAATTTTTCATTTTTTTCTCAATTTTCCAATGTTTTTAATTTTTAGACGACTCAACCGTTTTTCATTTGGAGTTTCTGAAAGCACATGTAGTATTTTCTGCATCATTTTTATGTTGGTCAACTCCACGGAATCTTCATTCATTTTATGAAGGTACTTATATTTAACATTTATATGATCAAAACAAAACTCTAATGAGATTGTTATTCATTTTCGGGTAATAACAGAAAATAAATTTTGTGTTTATGTTGATGTTTTCGACTACATGGATGAAATCGTCAACTCCATGGGTGAGGTCGTCAACTCCATGGGAAGAGTTTTTAGTTTTTTTAGCATAAATCGATTAAAAAATTATCCAATTCTTGGCCTGTTCAATATGAGATATATTATGTTCAAATACGACAACTAGATGAATATTGAATGATTTTGACACATTTTTCATTCTTATTGAATATCCTTGTCAATTTGTCCCCGTTTTGAAGAATGACCCGTATACAAAACAAATCTCACCTTCTCTTCCTTCAGATCAAAATTCGCTGCGTCTTCGTCCTTCTCGTCTGTCGTCTCGATATCCACCTCGTCGTCGCTCTCCTCATCTTTCTGCGAACCACCTTTATCCGGAACAGGCTGCACTGGCTTGAACGCCGACTGATAGCTCTTATCAATCGGGAAAAACGGATTATCTTGCGGAAACAAGATAGGATTACGCTTGAGCCAGGGAAAAGACGCGTAAGAACCGAAAGCGAGCGGCTTATGGTAGATGAAATCCATCGCGACCCTCGACATAGGCAGAGGAAGGTCCTGGCAATTCGGGATCCTAGGAGCCGGTACTATCGGCGGCGACTGAGGCGCCAGCTTCGTCTGCTTCTGGGGCCTGGCCATGAGAGAGCTGGCCAGCAGCCGCTTCCTGGTGCCCCCGTTGAACATAGCCTTGACGTCCTCCCAAGCGTGCGTTATCTCGTCTGGGGGGCACCCGCTCAGCTTCATGTGTCGCCTCCACGAGTTGAAGTTTGCTGCATCAGGCTGCACGTACTTGTCGTTGGGGCCCAAGCGGTGGGAGTGAAAGATGAACTTGTTGGGCGAGAAGAACAGGCCGCAGACCGAGCACTTGATGCATTTGGCTCTGGAGGAGTTGTATCTGGATGGTAGGAAGGAGCCCCGGCAGCCCCAAGCACACTCGTGGTGAACTGCAAAGGCGAAGTCTTCAGGTAGACGTGGTGGGGCGTTGTCTCCCAGGAAGCTTTTGCAGAGGCGTTCTGCTTCCCTTCTGGTTATCATTCCGCATCTCCTGGAAGATACTGGCATGGCTCCGGCTCTTCGAAGGATTTCCAGCTGGACCGGAGTGCATTGGACGCATGTTATTCCTGTAAAGAATGAAATAGCTATTCATATATCAAGGTATCAATTTCCTTCCGCGTGTGAATCAAACACACATTGGAGAAAATTGACCTTTGCTCTCAAGATATACAGGGTGAGTCATGAGGCCCCTGAGGGGAATACCGAATGTCCATCAGAAAGTGTCTTCTTTACTTATTTTCCAATATATAGGGTGAATTATATGAGATTTGGCAAAAACATCTTTTGGTCATAACTTTCCAACAACTTCTTCGATTCATCTGATTTTTTCATGGAATATGCCGCTATTACTCTCTAATTGGCTGACTTATTTAGAATTGGGAATCCAGGACCGTCTTTGAAAAATTTTGATAGTTTAGTTTATTGCAAGAAGTTCATCCTGTATATCGTTTTCGTAAACTCTGACAGGGAATTTTCAAGAGTCACAAACAAACATCGAATAAAATATTTCAAATTTGCCTCAAACTTCCACTGTAGTCTGAAAAAAACTATAAATTTTATAAAAAAAAAATGAAAATTCGACAAAAAATTCATTTACTTGGAAATTAATACTTCGCAACCCATAAATTTTACGAATAAAAGTGAGACTTACATTTTAAATACTTCAGCTCAATGAAAATCAGCATATTATTTTATTCTCATCAGGTCTGGATTTAGTAATTAAATTTTTTTGTGGAGGATGAGTAGATCTTTTTCGAATCAGTGGATGAAGTATATGTGAAAATGTTGTTGGCGTTCACTATCAATGATTCTATGATTTCAATTCACAGTTGTATATATTCGTTTTGTTCTATTCAGTAAATTTGACACTAATTTTTCGTACTTACTAGAATTGTTATTCGCTTTTGTCAGTTTAGCTTCTCAACAATATTTGTGAGTAAACCTTCATTTTCTGTTCGACTATCTTGAATTATTTGAATCGAATGACCATTAACATCTAAACAGATACCCCATCCACTGATTAGAAAAAGATCTACAGGGTGATTATAACCCTCCACAAAAAATGAAATGACGAAATCCAGGCCTGGAAATGAAAGAACATGTAGATTTATTTCCATTGGGCTAAAGCATTGAAAATGTGAGTCTTACTTTTATTTGTGAAATTTTTGCGTTGCGAAGTAATCATTTTCGAATGAATGAGATTTGTTGTCAAACTTTCGTTTTTGCTTATAATTTATAGTTTTTTTTGAAAAATTCTGTGACAGTGTGAGGAAAATTTTGAATATTTTATTTTGGACGCTTGTTTGTGTGCTTTGAAAATTCCCTGTCACAGTTCACAAAAAACCATATACAGGATGAACTTTTTGATAAAAACTAAACTATCAAAATTTTTCATAAACGGGTCTGGATTTTTACGATTCTGAATAAGTCTGTCGATTAGGATTTAGTAGAGGAATATTTCATAGAAAAATCAGACGAGGGCTGTTGAAAAGTTATGATCAAAATATGTTTTTGCCAAATCTCATAATTCACCATATATATTGGCAAAGAAGAGGAGAAGACACTTTCTCATGGTCATCAGGTATTCCCCTCAAGGACCTCTATTCGTGGTAGGAGTATATACAGTTCCTCATGACTCACCCTGTATACATAAGATTTCATCCACGAAGAAATATATTTGAGAGCATCATTCTTAAAATTGTGCTTCAGGCGGTCTATCTCTCGAGTCTTGATCCAAATCAATGTGTTACAAAAGTGTAGTATGCCATGGACAATTGACAGTATTTGAATCTGAACGAAAATCAATTTGACACTTCTATCATGTTGAATTTGTTCATTGTTCAAGGTTTCGATAGAGTAGGTTAATTTGGAAAATGAAGAAGTTGTGAAATCATTGGAATTAAAAAAAAATATTGTTATTCGTTTTTGAAGTTGTGATGGAGACAATGATTAGGCACTTGCACAGATCTTGCACGTATATCTCTGCCAAGGAAGCAAGCTGAAGCCAATACTCATTTTACCTCTCATGATGGGAGGCAATATTCTTTTTCCTCCCTTGGGAGTAAATTGACAGGTTTGTGTCCCTAAATGAGGGAAACAACGCTTGCTTTCGCTACAGTGACTAGATAAATAATATTTTTTCCACCCGATTTCACGAGGATATGAGTTACTTGGATGAATAGAAACATTTTAGAGAGTCACCTTTTTTGACTCACCTAGAGCAACTCTCCTGTTGTGTATTTCATTATAACTGAATTGTTTCAACAATGTATTGGATATTTGTGCCAAACACAGCCTTTCTTGACTCTCGATCACCAAGGAAACGATTGGTACCCCGTATAGCACGACAGTTGAAACCTGAAACTGGATCATTAGGTTCAGTAATGATAATATTGGATTTTTCTAGCTCAAGGTGCTTACTTGGTTGGGTTTGGGGCTTATTTCCTTTTTGGAGGGTTGGGGCGAATCAGAGATTCGGGGTTTCAATGAATCCATTCTGAAAAATTGAAGTGAAAATTAAATGTAAAAACCATTGTGGAACCATGGAAGAATTGGTTCAAAATAAATTAGGTGCGAATTTGAAATCTATATTTTCAATTATTCCGGAATGATCGTGAATTTTTAAAATCAAATGCTACAGGAAACATATATTATTATTGACCTTCAGAGAATTTGTTCAATAAAGATAACAAAAATCATCACAACGATGAAATATTTTCGTGCAAATTTTAGTATTTGATTTCAAACATCAGTATGTGACGTTTCAATGGCATCACAGCTTATACTTTATAATTATCCGAAAATGTATTTGATGAAATTGAAGAAACGGAAAGGAAATTTTGGGAAATCATTAGAACTATAATTTATGAGTTGCGAAAAATGAAAATTACCACCATATAAAAAATGATTTTCCAGATCCTTGTTACTTTTATAGACCTCAATCGCAGAATCGTGATAAGGTTTTTCTCAATTCAGAATTTCTTTCCACGTTCTGTATAATGAATGTCAATTTATCATACATTTAAAAAACATAAAAAATATTATCTTACCTTGAATTTTGTTCAGACCACGTACACATCCAACACTATCGCAAAAACTCACATGTATAACATAACTAACTCGCCAGAGACGCTAAGTAGTAGTGAACCGTACAACCCTTAGCGAGATAATGACAATATTCGTTACGTGGTAAATCACCCTTTCGAGGCTCCGCCTTAAACACTGAATGGGGGCTGTGTTTACACTTCAGCCCTCAGTTTTATCCAATCGAAGAGTTGGGATTCGCATTGACAGTGGAGATATGCTGCCAACCCTTAGTAATTGACCAATGAAACTTTGGATATATGTGCGCTCTTTCTTCGAAAATATGATACATAGGTAAATATTGTTTTTCATAGGTCTTTTGTGTTTTAATTTCGACATATTTTCAACGGGAACAACGTTCATTAAAGATAACATTTTTATTCGGGCAAATCTATATCGGCTCTCTATGTGTATACGAGGGGTTAGTGATTAATAGTGGGGGTCCCTTTCTTCATATATCTATGCGTATATCAATACATTTTTGATAAGTGATATAGATTTGCGAAAGTAATTTGCCCATCAAAAATATATTTATGTTTATGGATACTCATATATGTATAATATACGTTCAATTTTTCTATTCTTTTAGAGAGTTTTGTTTGTTCTTATATGTTTCCTCTATACAGGGTGTTTTAAAATTCAACCAAAAACGTTTGACAGGTGATAGCCCCCGTGATTTCATGATCATACTTTAGGCGTTTTCGGAAACCTACTCGGGTTGACTCGATCCCTAACCTGCACGTTCGTTTACCTAACTCGAGTAACATACCCATGTTCGGAAACTTCGGTGTTACTTACTCGATCACTAACTCGGGTTCATGTTTCGTAACCCTGCTCCAAAGCAGGGTCAGCCAGAGTTACTACCTCAGATCATACACTTACTACCACAGAACTGTTCACGATTCATGTATTTCTAAGGTCACTTCAGATATTATTTGATTTCATCAATTGAACAAGAAGCGAATTATGTTGAATAGCATTAGTTTGATGATGAAAATACACCAACATCATGAGCAGAAGCAATATTAGAACAATAACAACGTGTATCTTTTAAGAGTTAAGTGGTATGTTATTAAAGATATGGAGAAATTGATCCGAAAATATTGATATCGTATAGCAAACTGAAAAAATTGCATACAGCAAGAAATCAAGAAGTTCTATTCGAAGAGGTATGAAGCTAACTCAATAAAATAGTAACCTGATAAGTTCGTAAACTATGGTATTAGGATAAGTGATCCGACTGATCCATCACGTGACCCGTTCAGATCGAGTCAACAACCCAGAGTAAGTTTCCGAAAACGCCTTTTGATAGGGACATATACGGTCTTCAGTACGTGTTCAGTTCTCGAGATACAGGGTGTTCAAGTTGAGAAATAAAAATAGTTTTCTTGCAATAACTAATGAATATTTTGCATTCATTTATGGTTTCATTTTTGAATGGGTAATTTTTTGACCAGGTAGTTGTTCTAGGAATTTTGTCCAGTGGTGCGCTACAGGAGGTTGCAGTAACTTTTTCGTCCATATTTTTCACGCCAATGAAGAGATTTAGATTATATTTTCAATCCTTCGAATTTATTTTTGTTCATGCATAACCTTCAATCAAGCTAAATTGGATAGTTTTCGAGTTATTCGTCGCAGAATCATTTTCATTAGTAGAATTAGTACCTAGATACCTTTTAGATCTCATTCTGCAGCTGAACAGAAACAGTTATTTCATGCAACAACATTTTTGTAATTTCTTTCTACGGAAAATGATGAATTAACCAACAAGGAACAAGCCAAATACTCAAAGTAGTTGTTTCTATCGCGTTATCTACCAGTTTCATTAATTTTATGAACTATTGTGGTTATGACTTTGAGTTTCTCTCTTTGTGATGATGAATTACATTTTATTTTAGCTTATAGTTGAAGACGATGCATTTTTTGAACAAAATTGAACAATGAATTAGAGGAATCGAATATAATTGGAATTTCATCAGTGGCGTAGAAAATATGGAGGAAAAGTTTGCACAACCCCCTGTAGCGCACAACTGGATTAAATGTCTGGAATGAATTTCTGGTCAAAAAATTACTCATTCAAAAGTGAAACCATACATTGAAATTGAATGCAAAATATTCAATCATTGTTGAGTTATTACAAAAAAATTATATTTATTTCTCAACTTCATAATCCTGAAAACTTGAAGCCGTATTTCCCCCAGTAATTATGAAATCACAAGGACATTCATCTGTCAAGCACTGTCGGTCGAGTTTCGAAACATAAGTAGTAACTTTTGGTTCAAACACGTTAGAACTTTGTGATGCCTTGCTAGACTATTCAAAAAACAACGGATCTCGTATGTTATGAGTATAAGAGTATTTTCAATAGTTATTAATGAATTCAGGTTGATATCTCCTATGAAAAAATCTGATGTATCTATATCGTGTGTATCGAGAGGGAATAATTGCTTGGCTCATCAGATAAACCATCAGGCTGTTGAAATTCCATAAAAAAAATCGTCTATAAATATTCAAGCTATTTTATAGTTACTAGAATCAAGTTATCATTATTAAGGTTATTTTGTTCGAGTTTTTGCCACACAAGTTGAATGTATGTATAGATTCTCAATCTTCTGGATCGCATGAAACGGAATCCCAATTATGTTTGTGTAATATCGAATCGTCAGTATCAGGGGTAGAAATGCATAGAGAAAAGGGTTATTGATTCTGTTTATGTAGGAGCTTATAGGTTCTTGGGAATATTTCCCTGAGCAAAATATTTCTGAGATTTACCGATCTATGAACAAACGAGTTCAATATGAGAATTGTTTAATGAAATCAATGGTTGCCGTCATTGTCAAAGTGAACAAAATCAATTGGAACTAACAATATATTATCTTGATGCTTGATAAAAAAGTGATGTTTATATGTACGCATTCAACCTTTGAATAAGCCAAGCAATTAAACATCCCTTTCGGCGTAGACATAATAATCAGGAACGCCCTGTGTAGAACTCAATAGACTCTTCCGGATCCAGCTCAAATCGAAATCCCCATTTTTAATAGAATATCTCCGCATGCCCCGCGATATAACCAATAGCCAATATATTATTGGGAGCATCCCAAATCGCTTCCACGGCAGATGAACATGTTTTCAATCACTGTAAATACCATTACGTAATCTGGAGTGTATTCATGCGAGATAATACTCTGGCGCTTCAATTATTGCTATTATTGTACTACCCAGAGATGGAGGAAGATTATCCGGGATTTTAACGTGTAATAGAAGGAACAGCCAAAATGTATGTAACATCCACACTCTTTTGGGACCACTCTTGCCCCATAATACCTCTGGGGAATAGATGTAGAACCCAGCCAACCATCTACAAATATACTGGCTCTGTATTTTAGTGCAGAATGTGGTATAAAAATGGCTCCACTATTTTTCCAATCAACTTTCGTCTTGTATGTTTCATGAGTATGGACCGATTCGAATCATCAAATTCGGAATGAATACAAAAATTCCATCAAAATCAGTTCAGTACTTTTCTCTTAATTTGAAATATTCTTTCGTTCTTGTTATAACGGATTTGAAATTGTATACCCCAAATGGTGAAATTGAGATTTGAATTAATTTGTCTTCCTCGTACTCGGAATGACTATACAAACATTCCATCGACATCATTTCAGTACAATTTCAGAAATTTGAAAATAAATCTTCGGCCCTGAGGTCAATTTTTGCATAGTGTTTCCACCAAATTACAGAATTGAAATTTCGATTGTTTCTTCATCATATTCGGAAGAAAGGAAAAATTCCATGTAGATTTTTGTGAATTTGGACCTTGTCACCCGCCAAATTTCAAAAAATGGCGAAGGTTTTCAGGTTGAAGAAATGGCGAAGGATCATAAGCAAACTGTTTGCATTGTGTAACCACCAAATAGTAAAATCCAGTCGAAATCAGTACTTTTTACGAATTTTAAAAAACCTTATAGCCTTTCATAAGGTCTTGTCATATTGTCTACATTTTGTCTATTTATTGAAAATAGTAAAGCTTCTTGAGAATGATTTTTGCGTAGTGTGTCCACCTAATAGTGTATCCACCGAATTTTAAACTTGAAATCGGCTTTTGAATGACTTTCGAAAAAAATAATGGTATTCTAGGTAATGATACTGGGTATCGGAGTTGCCATTCGTAATTAACCAATGATTTTCTTAAATGAAATCAACGTTTCCCGATATATTGCATGGCGTAACATAGTGGAGTCATCTGATGTATCTGTGTTTAAAATAAAGGACCTATCTTGAGAACGAATAGCATCATTTAATGAGAATATCGCAAAATTATGTGCATTATTGACCCATCGGTATTGTCAAGATTGAAACGGATATACCCTATATTTCAAAATTTGCCACATATTCGGTATTCACGCATT